TGGTCCTTTGATACTCTTTTATTTTTCAACTGTATAACTGTAAAAACTATTTTTTTATATAAAAAGATAAAAGAATAGATGAAAAAGGAAAGCGATGGGGGGGGTGCATATGAACGACTTACGAGATTTGCACGCTGTCCTTTGATATTCTTCCATTTTTTAACTGCATAACTGTATAAATTATATTTTAATAATAAAAAATATAAAAGAATAGATAAAAAAGGAGGGATGGGGAGGGGATATGACGATGAAACGTTACAGTTAAAAATAATAGTGATTATTATACAATTCGTAAAAATGAAAGATCTTTTCAGCGAGAGATGAAGATATGTAAATAATTAATTAACATAATTAATATTATTTTCTAAGAAAAAGGAAAAGAAAAAGAGAGAGAGAGAGAGATAGATAGAAATGAAGTGAGTGAAAGAAATCAAGGAAAGCAAAGAAGAAGAAGAAGAAGAAGAAGTAAAAAAAAAAGGAAAGGGATGGAAAATCTTGAGACAATTGTTTCGATTCTTACTCGAGTACTCGACGAATAATAAATCCCGTGAAACATTCTTTAGGGAATTTTCTGTTTACTCATTTCCTACAGTTATTGCCCGAAATAACTCGGATTTTGTCGGATACTCAGGTAATCATTTCAATTCTCTTTTCTTTTCCTGTCTCTTTCATTTCAAATGAAAATCCCTTTGTGATACGTTTCTATCTCTCTCTCTCTCTCTCTTTTTCTCTCACACTCATTCACTTTCATTCTATTTCTATCTTTTTCTACGTACCTTCTTTACGAACAAGAATGAAAAGAAAAAGCAAAGAGAGAGAAAGAGAGAAAGAGAGAAAGTGCCAGCCGCGTTTTGAAATAATCCGAAAACGTCGTAATTATTCAGTTTGTTTGTTTGTTTGTTGTTTCGCAGGGATTTCCATGCACAAAGGATACGCCTTCGTGCAATTCACGAATCCCTTTGACGCACGCAGCGCCTGTCTTGGCGAAGATGGCCGTACCATTCTCAGCCAGATACTCGGTAAGTTATTGTATTATTCTACGAATGATAATTTAGCGGTATTACGTGCTAATTTCAACCACCTCCTCCTCCTCCTCCTCCTTCTCCTCCTCCTCCTCCTCCTACTACTACTACTATTACTACTCGTCTTCTTCTTCTTCCTATTCGTATTCGTTCTTACTACTTCTACTTCTCTGCCCACTTTTCGCGTCTTTCATCGTCTGATACTCAAATGACGACGCTCGTTTATCTTTCCACGCTCGTATTTCTAACGAAATGAGTTATCAAGCCGACCGTCGCGTTTATATCTTTAAACTAGAACCATTTCAAAAGATATTTTCAAAGAAATACTATACATTCCATTAAATACCATAATAAACGTCCAAGAAAACGATCTATTTATTATCATCATTGTATTATTATTTTTCATTGTTTTTTTTTTTTTTTAATATCATTAATTTTCATCAAATGTAACATTGAATTTGTTTTTAATGCTAAGAAAAATAATCATATTTTTCTATTAAATAAAATATAATGTATGTAATATGTAATTCGAGTATATATTTAAGAAATTTTGATCATTTTATTTAAAGTAGCATAATATTATTTATTTTTTATAATAATTTACTTTGTACAAATCGAAATTATACAGTAATGTGATTTTTATCTCTATCGTTTGTCTATTTTATATTACCTTTACTGATTGTTTATACTCTAATCGAATTTAAATTTTAATAATACAATTATTGCAACAATCTTGAATAAACTATAACAATAAATTAAATACAAATATTTGTAAATACAAACAATTTATAAAACTCGTACGTTAATTTGGAATATCGTAGAATATTTGTCAATTTTAAATTATCTTACAATCATATGTTGTATATAGGTTAAGAACTTCTCCAATATGGAGTCTTCTTGTTGTTTCGAATGAATTATGTTGAGGTTATAAAAGTAAGGATTAATAAAGTAAAATTAAAAAATAGTGATTTAATCAATAGAAATTAAGAAAAAAAAAATGTTATCAGCTCGTTAGAAAAAACTTGTCAACATAAGAATCCTTTTTTATGAGTGCATGAATACAAAGATTACAAATATGGTTATGTAAAAGTAACTGAAATTCATTTATACATATTTGTGCCAAATTTATTTATTGTTCATAATATTTCTGTCAAATTTGATTATTGCCTATTATAAATATGTCCTTAAAATAATCCTGCAAAAGAATAAAACAAACGCGTCTCAAAAGTTAACCTAAAAAGAGGCAAATTGCAACAGTGTTACGAATAGGAATTCGAATAATTATTATTAAATTCCAAAATAATGAAAATAATACATTTACCGTAAAAATAATAATATATTTAAATAATAAATATAATAATATGTAAATAATATATTTATATGAAAGAATCAACAAATCCATTTTCGATAGTAAAATATTTTTTACCTATATGCAACAATTTTATTTAAACAAATTAAAGTATCAAGAGAATAAAAATTGTTAAATATTTTCGTAGAAATAAATAAATCAATAATAACATTACATGGGACTATTTAAAGAGGGAAAATTTTATGACTATCAGATAGTCTCTCTCTCTCTCTCTCTTTCTCTTTCTATATATTTCTATCTCTCTCTATTTCTCTATCCCTTTATGGCTTTAACTTCGCCTTTGAACGTTCCCAACCGAGCGAAGGAACGCAAAGGGTGGAACCCTTAGAAGTGAAGCATCATCGACGTTCGACCATTAGTTTAAACCTTCCGAGAAGGGTTAAGGTGTTCTGCATGCTCGCCAAGGGTCTACCTAAGGTGAAGGGTTTAATAAAGCGGACCTCCACCACTCCAATCCACAGGGAACGACTTCTTCAAATTTAGGCGTTCCTAATGTTCACCTTTGCATCTTATCAGTATACGGGGTGTCTTAAATTTTATATATTAATACAGATTAAAATCACCATATACTAAAAAACCTGTTTTTTTTTTTTTTAATTAACAAATATTCTCATTTTAATTTCAATTGAAATATTCTTACCAATCTTTGCCCACCCTCGCCTCAAAAAAAAAAAAAAATGAAATAAAATAAAATGAAGAAATTGAAAAAATTCTCATCGTTATCTTATCTTAGATAAAATTGAAAACAAGTGATTCGATTAGATGAGAGAATCGTTCGAGAATCGAACACACCACCCGATACGTGAGAGGTCAAACGTGCACAAAAGGAATTTCGGGGGTTTCTTCTTCTTCTTCTTCTTTTTCTTCATTTTCTCTTTCGTCTTTTCTCAGATCACCGAATTGGCTTTGAATTTCGAGGTTTAACTCCGGTAAATGAAGAGAAATAGAGAGACAGAGAATAAAAAGAAGAAGAATAAGAGAGAGAAAGATAGAGAGAGTAAGAGAAATTCCATTCGTAACATTGCCGAACAAGGAGGGTGGAAAATTACGATGGCTCTTTTCTCGGAAAATCTAATCAACGCAACTACGGGAGGCACACTTTTACTCCTCTCAAATAAAACCTCACGTGGTTTTTCTTTTTTTTTTTCTTCTTCTTCTTCTTCTTCTTACTCTTTTATTCCTAACCTTTTAGAAACGTAAATATATATATATATATATAACGCTCCACCTACCTCATTGGTGGAAAAAGAACAAAACAAAACCTTACGTGGCTTTTTGTTTTCTTCTTTTCTTTTTTTCTTTTTTTCTTTTTCACACACAAAATGTAGATGAGTGGTAAATTGTTTAATAAGGTTATATTTTTAATTTTGTACATTATGTAGTTGGACAAATGTTTTCAATCGTATAAATGATGTTTCTAACATGTTTTAAAGATATGTACAATCAATTGAGTATTGTTTCTTTTTTTTTTTCAATTTGAAGCATCTTAACACACATTGACAGTGGGCCCCACGAAAACGCAAGTTTCTGAGTTGGTCGTTTGAGTAGCTGCCACACGATGGCGCTCAGGCTTTAAAATGTCTCTTAGGTCGCCGGCTGGCAATGTGTTGTTAAATTATGTTGAATGTAGTTAAGTCCCTTCGAAATTTTATAACAAATCTAAGTGTTGATATTAACAATGGCCTAATTTCTCATTCGTGATTAGAAAAAGCATATTATTCGCTTAATAATTGCTACTACGTTAATAAGAAATATAAATTGAAAGCCTTTAGCTACACTTAAAGCAGTATAACTCGTTAGTATCTTGTACGTATACTTTTAATTGTATTGAAACACAAACCCTTCAATATCTCGATTCGAACATAAATGGAGATAGGCTACTTTCAAAATAGGCGGCCCATGTAACGTTCCACCTACTTCATTGGTGGAAAGAAAAAAAAAGAAGAAACAAAACTTAACTTTGTTTGTTCTTTTCTACTTTCCTTTTTATCTTTTTTCCTTTTCTTCTTCTTCTTCTTATTGTTTCCCTTTCTTCCTAACCTCTTATAAACGTATAGATATAACATTCCAACTATCTCATTGATGAATCAAACAAAAGGAAAACAAACAATGCTTAACATTGTTTTTTGTTTTCTTCTTATTCTTCTGTCTCTTTCTTTCTAATCTCTTATAAACGTATAAATATACATATATATATCGTTCAACTTACCCCATTGAAAAGATATCGATCGTAACTGGTGCTTGTAGATTTTTTCTTTCTTTTATTTTACCATTTTTCTTTTTTTCCCCGCCTTCAAAACTCTTTCTACTCTATTTTGTTAGACGTTCTTTTCTCTCTCTCTCTCTCTCTCTTTTTCTCTTTTTCTCATCCCCACTATTTCTTCCCCTTCCCTCACCTAACAACCGTACAAACGTCCCTTTGTAGTCGTGGCAACGTGTCAAACGGATTTGTTAGTGCAAGAAGAAGGACAGATGCAACAGGTTGCAGGGTTTAATTATTATTAAAGGGAAGTCACGATCGAATGATCGCGTTAAGGAGGATGGTAAAGCTTTAAAAGGGCAAGGGAAACAGTGAGAAAGATAGAAAAAAAGAAGAAAAAAATTTTGATTTATTCTTTCTGTCTATTGTAATAGTATTCCCTTAGACGAATCTCATCTGGCTATTTATCATTCGTTTGTAACAAAAGAACAAAAAGAAAAAAAAAAGAAAGAAATAAAAAGAACATTCAAAAGCCATTCGAAAAATTAATCATCTCTTTTTTTTTTTTTTTATTATTTTCCTTCTAACACGTCAATTTGTTTTCAAAAAGGGAAAAGAAAAGAAAAGAAAAAAAATGAAAACAGTATGGTTGAGAAAAAAGATGAAAGAGGAGACAGGGAAGGGGAATAGCATTGGTGATTGTGGTGGTGGTGGTGGTGGTAGATGGTTGGTAAGCGTGGGTTTTGCTATAAATTTTTCTTCCGGTGTACGGTTTGGCTATAACTAACGTTAGCGCGTAAGAGAACATAGTAAAGTTGGCAAGAATTACTAGATTCGTAGGTACATACCTTTAGAACCCAGCGTGCACACACACACACACACACACACACACATACACTAAATGGGATACTCAAGTTAAACTTATGGTAATGTTTACTACGATATAAATTCAACGAGTTACTTTCCGCGCGAGTACTCACGATAGTTTCGCCAAGGTTTTACCTACCAACCTACCAACCTACATATATTTATACAAAACGTTGTCTTATTCTTTTCATACACTTTTCTATTTCTATCTTTCTCTTTCTCTTCTCTCTGCTTTCCGTTTCATTACCCATTTTTGCTCGTGCATTATATAACATTGAAAGAGGGGCAATAAGAACGACCCATTGTTCCCTTATTCCAATATTATAAAGCATTCCTCTATCAGCTTAGAATATTATTTTATGATCTAAAATGTACTTCATCAAAATCTAACCACCCCTAATCTCTCATTCTCTATTTTCTTCCTATTTTCTCTAATGCTAACACATTGACAGCCGGCCCCGCGGAAACGCGGGTTTCTGAGTTGGTCGCTTGAGTAGCTGCCCCACGATGATGTGGATTCTTTTTTTGCTGGTATGAGTGTCTTACACATCGATTGGTATT